TGTAAAACATCCACAGCACGCTGCATTTTCCCAAGCCACACCCCTTCGGATCAAGGATCCTAATTAGTGATCTCTCTCATGTTTTATGAAGGCCCTGGCCTCCAGAGCCGGTGATGAGTCGCAGGAGGGCCTGAGGATGTATTTCCAGGAAACCTTCCGTCTCTGTAGTGTCTTGCTGTTTGTTTTGGGAGGTCTTTTCTCTCTGAACTGTTCTCAAGAGGAAGCTGCACACTTGGCATCTCCTGCCTGGTGTCTCTGGGGCAGTCTTGGTGCTCACCCCACCATTTTGCTAACCCTCTGGCTTGAAAATAATGGCCCAGCAGAAAGGTGGGAGCTCCCTCAGCCCAGGCTGAGAAGGGAACTTGAAGGCACCGCGGGTGCTCATGCAGTTCTGCCCAGAGGCCATCACACTTCTGGGGCTGCGGGCTCCTCCTGCGGTCTCCCCACGGCGTGGCAGGTCCCTTGGCTTCTCTGTGGCCCTTCATAGGGGGCTCCACTCGCAACGGCCCCCACCGGTCATTGTTCACGTAGAAATCACGGATCCAGAAACGTTTCCGTTGTGTTTCCATTTACAGCTCAAAGCTTGTGGCATCCAGTCTGCTCTCCTTATCAGGACTTTGTTTCTCCTAAATGGGTCCAGACCCATCGGCTTGGCATTTGGAGCCCTCTTGTCAGTGTCTTGGCCCGTCTTTGGTCACGTGCCTCTCTTCTGCTAGCGCCACCCCCCGCAAGACAATGCCCTTTGCTTAACAAGCTTCCCATTTCGCCTTTTGGGAACCTTATGTTCTTTGCTGGTGAACCTGCGTCTGTCTCCCCTTCTGGAATGATCACTCTTCTCTGAGCCCTCCTAGAGCATATTTGCCTATTTTTTTTTCCACTGTACATCTTATCCCCTTTATTCAATGTAACTTCCTGGAGAGCAGGGCCAGTGCCTTGTCCCTTTCCGTATGTGCCCACATAGTGAGAGACAATAAATAGTCTCAACAGATATTTATGCAGTCATGGAATCTGAAACTATGGATTTCAGTAACAGAAATGGCATGGGCTGGGTGTGCAGAATGCCCTTAAAGTGGGAAAAAATTGTGTAACCTTTCCCACACTGATACCATATTAAAACCTGCCTATTAAATAATAAGAATAAAGAAATAAACAGCAGAGTTTAATACTTAAGAGGAGGGATTTTTGAGCCATGTTTGAGTTGGAAAGTTGCCCTGCATTTTATTGCTATGGAAGCTTCAGCAAGATATGTAATTCTCTAGATTTCAGTTTTCTCCACCGTAGAGATAACAATGTGTATTTTAGTGACCATAAGATGAGCCATTATTTTATATGCTACTAAGAAGGAAAAATCGCTGTCAATTAAACAAAGATACAGTGCTTTCTGTGGCTTAGAGTTTTTATTTTATACTTATTGAAATAGCTCTTTTAGATGTAGTTAAGCTTTTGAAAAAATCACATATCACTCTTTTAAAAAGGAAAATGAATGGATTAAGGTTTCCCTAAGATGTTTCATACTTCGTCTGTCCTAAAACACAGTTCGACTCAAGTCAGGCCTCCTGTTTCTCCACACAGTATCATGCTCTGCATCAGTGAGGCGACTGGTGATGCAACTTTTTTTCTTTTTCTCCAAGAATGAGCTTTTCTGTAGGATTTTCTGCCAAGCTGCTAACACCATTCTTCAAGTTTTAAATACTGGTGCTTTCCTAATCTTACAAATCCATCTCAACAGAAGGTAATGGGACTCAGAGGGTCCTTAAAGGGTTTGTACATTGAAACAGCAGGGGGATACAGATGCTCAGTCAGGCCACCAAGAATGACAATCACGTAATAGCAACTTCATCCAGACTGCCTCCTAGATAATAGTAATTGTAAGACACATCCCTGTTTCAGAGATGTTAAAATGTAAAAAAAAAAAGTGCATCTTGGAATAGATAACATAGAATGTATTATCACCAAGGGTTGTGGTGAGATTTGAAGGAGAGGAAGTTAGTAGCTGTTATCATGATTATGGTTATAATAAACTCTTAGGAAATATAATGGAGCCCTCTAATAACAATAACTGTTGTTTATGGAGTGCTTATTAATGTGATATGTTTATTAATTATGGTATCATTTTCATACTTAAATATTCCCTAATATATTTTTCCTTTTTTATTGAGGTATGATTTACATTCAGTGAAATGCACACATGTTAAGTGTACAGTTCCATGAATTTTGACACCTGTGTTATCAGCATCCCTATCAAGATATTTTCATCACCCCAGAAACATCACGCTTGTACCTGTTCCCAGTCATCATCCCCCTTTGCCCAGATGGCCTCTGTTCTGACGTCTTCTACCATGGATTAGTTTTGCCTGTTCTAGAAGTTAATATCAACGGAATCCCGTAGTATGCCTTCTTTTGTGTCTTTTTCTTGAGATACTCCCACGTCACTGCGTGTATGTAGAGTTTGTGCCTTTTCCTTGCTGGGTAGTTCCGATGTACCACTGTTTCCACCTTCTCCTCTAGATGGACATTTAGGTTGCTTCCAGTTTGGGACAATGAGTAAAGCAACTGTGAACATTTGAGTCAAGTATTTGTTGATTGCATGTTTCATTTCATTTCGGGAACTGTTGACCGAAACTGCCTGTCTCGGCCAGGCACGGTAATATTACCGCTTCATGAGTTGTCTCACAGTAGGAGTTCCCGATAAGCGACTGCCGTTGAAAACTAACCAGGAGAATTCGGGAGGGGCCAAAAGGAGGGAGGAGACACCAGCCCATATGTCCTGCCAACCTCCCAGAACCCTTTGTGCCGGTATCCATCTTGGCTGAGAGATGCGCGCGTCACGAGGAAGGACCCCGAGTCAGACCAGATGTGGGCCAATCAAGATGATGGACCAGAGGCAACCCGGAAACTAACCCCATCACCGTAAAGCCCGAGGCTGCGAGCCACGTGGCAGAGCGGTCCTCCTGGGTTCCCTTGCGCTGCTGCTCTGCGTCCCGGCGCCCCTTCCCAGTAAAGTCTCTTGCTTTGTCAGCACGTGTGTCTTCTCGGACAATTCATTTCTGAGTGTTAGACAAGAGGCCACTCTCGGGCCCTGGAAGGGGTCCCTCTTCCTGCAACGGTTTCTCTTGGGTAAATACCTAGCAGTGGAATTGTTGAATCAAAGGATAGGTGTATGTTAACTTTATGAGAAATTGACAGAACCTTTCTCAAAGTGCTTGTACATTTCATGCTCGCGTCACACGGGAGAGTTCCGGTAACTCCTCGTGCTTGTCAACCAGGCAGTTTCAGTCCAGTTAATTTGAGCCACTTGAATGGTTTTGTAGTGGAATCCCTACGGCTTTAATGTGCATTTTTCTGGCAACTAATGATCATCAACATTTTTCATAAGCTTTTCGGCCCCAGTTATATATCTTTGTAATGTGCCTGTGGTGTCATTTGCCTACTTTTCAGTAGGGTTATTTGTGTTTTAACTGTTGAGTTGCAGGGCTCAAGTCCTTCATCAGATGCATGCATTGTAAATATTTTCTCCCAGCCTGTGGCTTGCCTATTCATTTTCTTAATGGTATTTTTTGAGGAGTAGACGTTTTTAATTTTGATGAAGCCCATTCATTCATTTTTTCTCTTATAATTAGTATATTCTGTGTCTTATCTAAAGTTTTTCTGACTCCAAAGTTAGAAAGATATTCTCCTATATGTTCTTCTAGAAGCTTTATAGTTTTCACTTCTACGTTTAGGTCCGTGATCCATCTCTAATTAAATTCTGTGTATGATTTGAGGTGTGTATCAAGGTTAATGTTTCCCCCATATAGGTAGCTAGTTGTTCCAGTACCATCTGTTGAAAGTATTTTGTTTTCCTCATTGACTTGCGTGGGCACTTTGGTTGAAAATTACTTAACTGTGTGAGGGTGGGTCTACTTCTGAACTGTCTGTTCTCTTCCATTGATCCGTTTGTCTGTCTGTACACCAGTGCCATTCTGTCTGCATTTACTGTAGCTTCAGTGTGTGTTTGAAATCAAGTAGCAAATGTCCGCTAACTCTGTTCTACCTTTTAAGGATTGTTTTGCTTTAGCTAGGCCTTTGCATTTTCTTTTACCATTTTAGAATAAGCTTGTCAGTTTCTACAAAAGACCCACATGAGGTTTTGATTAGAATTGTATTGAATCAATAGGTCATTTTGAGGAAAATGAAAACCTTAACAGTATTCAGTTTTCCAATGTATGTATATACAGTATATCTTTCTAATTATTTAAGTCTCCTTTAGTTTCTCTCAGAAGTTTTAAAATGGTTTTCTGTGTAGAGGTTTTGTACGTATTTCTTTAAATTTACCCCTAAGTATTTTGAGTTTTAAAATACACATGATATTAAAAAAATTCATCTTCTAATTATTCACTGCTGATATTCAGAAATACAATTGATTTCTGTATATTGACCTTGATTCTTGCAACCCTGCTAAATTCAATGCTCAGAGCTTTATAGAATTTCACATTTATTCTTGTAGCCACCTGTAATGCACAATCATATTTTATAAGAAGTTTGCCCTGAAATCCCATATGCTGATTTCTTTGCTCAAGGTCATGCAGTTTGTGTAACCGGGATTTGAACTTGGGATTTGAATTTAGGTCTAGTTTGACTCCAAGGCCCGGTCCCTTTCCACCCTACTGTAATATTTCACCTCTTTGACATTTGGATGTTTGTACGGAATGATGCCATGTGGCTTCCCTGGGTTTCACTGTGATATTTTTGTGTCATCGTGTTTCAGAAGGACGTGAATTAGCCAATGCAACTCCCTAAAGCAGAAGAATATAATGAGAATAAGTTGCTAAAGGGACTGGTGGGTTTTTCAGCTTAAGGAGGACAGTCAGTGTGTTTCCAGATTCCTCCACAGAAGACTGTTAATGCAGTTGGATGTAGCTGCAAAGTTCATCCCCCTTTCCCCACACTGTTAGTGCATGCTAGCGGCACCTTCCATAGGCAGGGATGCGGCAACGCTTGTTTTCCCTCCTTTTCCGCAGGAAACCATTTCTGTACAGCCAAGGAGCTCACGGAGGAGATTAGATCGTTAACATCCGAGAGGGAAGGGCTGGAGGGACTTCTCCACAACCTGTCGGTGCTGAGTTCCAGGAACGTCCAGAAATTGGCAAGTGTCAAAGAAGATTACAGCAGCCTCAGGAGAGAACTGGATCAGGGGAGAACTGCCTATGGTGAGTGGTCACAGGGGTGTCTCGTGTATGTGTGGTATTTATTGTACTGCTTTATGTGAACGTCACTGTGAAGGGTGTCCTGGAGACACACAGCACTTTTCCTGGAGGATATTTTTGGCAGGAGCCTCGGCAAATGAGGCAGAATTTCTTGTCAGCTTTTGTTTGGCTATCGCATGAGATGCCTTTTCATTTTCTGTCTTTTCCCCGTCCTCTACCCTGGACTTGCTAATGGCCTTGTGATTCTTTAGAGCCATCTCCCCCTTGGCACAGTTCTTGAGAATTTTCTCTGTTTGACAATTATCTCCCTTTTGTTCCTTGCCTTTGCACAATCGCAGATGAAAGCAGGCTGTGGCTCTGGGAAAACCGAGAAAAGACCATGAAGTGCCTCTTCTCTGTGTGGGCTTTTCTGAGAGGTGCTTTCCCCAGGAAGAATGACGCCAGAGATACCGGTGCTGTCTTGGCCAAAGTATCTGTTTGTTGGGGGAGTTAAAGTATTCATGTGGTCTTTTCCTGTCCAGTTGTTAACTGTAAATGAGGTCACCTTGAGGCTTCACTCTGAGGAGTACTTTCAGAAGACGGTGGTTCAGTCCAAATTGATAAAGCCAAACCTATTTCTTAAAAAGAAAACCCAAAACACACACACAGTGAAGGATTTCTGATGATTCAGTTTCTAATATACAGAATGAAATCATAGGAAGAAAATTTAGATTTAAAATATATTAGATGCTGGAACCTGTTTCTTCATCAGTAAAATGAGAAGAGCATTATCCATCTCATAGGCTGGTTAAGTGGTACAAATTAAGTGAGGTAATTTATTAAGATCCTGAGATTGTGTGTGTGTGCGCGCACCCTTGCACATCCCCTGGGAACTAGAGGTTGTTGGAAGGCAAAGTTCATGCACAGTAAATCATTTCCCTAAAGAAGTATTTACTAGGAAAATGAAAGGCATATATACAAATAAAGGACTGTATTTACAAAGTATGCTTGTTTAAAAAGAAATAAAAGAATGGAGATATTAGTTAGCCAGATTTGAAATAGGGCTATTTGAAAATATTCCACAAATTGAAGTAAATGAAGATTAGTATTTAAGACCAAATAAGTAAGTATGAAATCAGCTAGCGGAAATAGGTGTGTCATTTCACTATGAATAAAGTTCGTTTTAAAGCCTTACTAAATTTTGTAGAGAGAGGTTTCTTCACAGTTATTTGAATGACAGATGGGATGGTCAAGGATTATCGTGTCTTCTTAGCCGTGGACACCCTCAAGTTGGTTCAGCAACTCAGAACGCCTTATCTTTTTTTCACTTTTGTAGGTCAGAGCTTTGTTTTTGCAAAATATGTAACTAGGGACTGCATTTGAGCCTTAACATGTAACTGTAGTCCTGAGAAATGACAACACATGCCTCTAAGATGTGACGGTGCAGTTTATTACATTATTATAGGACTAACCTTGTATATTTTAAATGAATTTTTGCTATAAATTTTTTAAATAATAAAAAATGAAAACTATGAAATGTCTCACGTTGTCATCCCAAGTCTTTTGGTGCAAAATGGGAAATTTATATCTAAGAATAAAGATGTGAACCAGTTTGGACAAATTTAGTTCAGCAATATTTTCTTTTTTTAAAAAAAATTTTATTGAAGTGTAGTTGACTTAGAATGTTGTGTTAATTTTTGCTGTACAGCAAAGTGACTCAGATATATATATATATATATATATACACACACACACACACACACACATTCTTTTTCATATTCTTTTCCATTATGGTTTGTCACAGGATATTTAATATAGTTCCCTGTGCTCTACAGTAGGACCTTTTTTTATCCATCCTATAGATAATAGGATGCAGCAATATTTTCATTTGAACAGTTGAGCTCTTGAAAGCCATTAATATCTCTTTTTTTTAAAAAAAAGAGGTGTAAAGTATTTTTTGAATCTCATCATTGTCACTTCACTAAGTATTTTCAAAATGATGAATAAAACATAAACAAATGGCACGAGAGATTGTTACCATGGATGATTCTAAATTGCAGATGGCTCATTACTGTTGTGAAGGCGTTCTTTATATGTTATACTTGGATTTTGCTGGATCAGCTACCCTTTTCCCTCTGCTTTAGGCCGAAGCTAATTTTTAAGCAATCTGAGGTGACTTGGCTTTGGGTGAACCGAATTAATAATCTTGGGTTGGAGATAGTGTGAGAGACAAAGAAAGAAAGAGAGAAAGAATTCCTTAGTAAAATGAAGCTTTTACCCATTGATAGTAATAAAACTAGACCAAAGACCATATTCTCTCATTTGTTGCATTTTGAGAGTTAAAAATCTGGAGGGAGCTCTGTGCTCAAGTTTAAACGTAGAGCAAATACAAAGACGTAGTACGCTTCTGCACGTATTACCATGAGCTGACTCTTTTTAATCTTAGATAAAACGTTTTAAAATAAGACTATTCAAAAAATGAGCGCTGTGTAGTGTTCGCAACAACAGATTTTGATTTCCAGCAGTGATTGCAGAAGGCAGCATTTGGGAGTAAAAGGCAATTCAGGGATGAACAAGTCATTCCATGAAGGTCAGGGACCCAGGCTCAGGTGACCCAGCCATGTGTGTGAACAAGGGTTCTGTTTCTACAGCGGGAGGGGAGATTTGCAGTCTTAGGGTGCAGTCTGTCTCATTCAGAGGATTCGTAATGATGGGAAGACTATGTGTAATGACTCATCACAGATGAACTTGCTCTGCTGCTGATCACTTACCATGTTGTTACATCCCGTGTCTCTGGCCTGACTGTAAGTCCATCGAGGTGAAAACACTGTCTTTCGGTTTCATTTGTGTCGTTGGCAGTACCCAGCACGATGTCATTAAAAATAGTAAATAGACCACAAATATTTGTTCATTTACTGGGGCCAGATGTTAAAATGAAATATTAGTCCTTTCTTCCCTTAGTTTGAATCACAGACCCAGACCATGGATCTTCTTTAAAAAAAAAAAAAGTTTAAAATTCATTTTCCAATTTAATGAGAGCAATGTTAAGTTTGATTGTCTTTCATGGAAGATGCTTGAGTTGGATATTCAGATTGGGGCGGCAGCAGACAGAACTAGTGGGATGAAAAAAAATCAGTAACTTTTTTTACAGTTTGCTACATCTGCTTTTCAGAAAAAAAAAAGACAACCCCGAGATTTACATAACTGTTTTTCCATCCCTTGTGGATAAGTTGGTAATATGTATTGTACTTTATTAATATTGTTGATTTCGTACTATAACTCAGATATAAAGGAAGCAGACGTCAAGGGGAGAGATTTAATCACAGAATAATCAGGGCTGGAATTTTAAATAGAGCATCATTAGCATGTTAATGAATTTTCCCAGTTTACGCGAGCTGCCCAAGTAGAAAAGATACTGCAGATATAGCTCAAAAATCTGGCGGGGCCTGTGGCCCAGTGAGCTGTCAGGAATCTGTGTAGGGTCTGTGAAATGCGTAAAGAGATTCTCAGTGTGGGTGTCAAATGCTGTTTTTTTCTGGGAGTGATGGCTGGCTGTGTCCAGCTTAAGCTCATTTATTTGCCTTTCAGTGAGTAAGGAGGAAGTGGAAGGCAGATAAGGGGCAGTTTTTTGTTTTTTTAAAGTCTTTATTGAATTTGTTACAATATTGCTTCTGTTTTATGTTTTGGTTTTTTGACCAAGAGGCACGTGGGATCTTAGCTCCCGGACCAGGGATTGAACCCAGACCTCCCGCATTGGAAGGTGAAGTCCCAACCACTGGGCCGCCAGGGAAGTCCCAAGGGACAGTTTTTAAGGGTGATGAAATGGCGTCAACTTTTCAGTTAGGGTTTGGGGCTAGTACCTACCTTTTGCTTTAGGTTAGAAAGGCCACACCCATACAATCCTGCCCTATTAGTTTTTTTTAACTCTTAAGTCCACTGGTGAAACATCTTTCATAAGTCACTTTAAGGAAAAGCTTTTGGTTTAGAGATTGTGTGCCTTACAGGTTCTGCATATATAGGCAGTCACTCCCTTTCCACATTTATTAGCTACATTTAGATAAAATTTTCAAGAAAAATTAGAACAGGGGGATAAAATCTGTCTTTTTTTGTGGGGGGGAGAAGAAATGGAGGCCTGGAATATATATAACTATATATCAAAGATGGAAACAACAAAATTAAAAAATAAAATGGAAAAGTTGAGACAAGAAAATGCTAATGATGAGTGTTAGTTATTTTGGTTGAGAATATGATGTGATCATGAACTTCCTAGAAGCCAGAGCAAAAAAGATAGGTGAAGCATCGTTTTCCTCAAAAGTAGCTTAAAGCCCGAAGTTTTCAGGAATGTGGAGTGGTGTTAAATTCTTAAAGATGATTTTTCTGAGGGTGTAATGGAAAGTCCTCATGAATAGATTTATAGCAAATGCAAAAGCACACATGGCTGTTAACCAACCACCTCTGAGAAAAAAATTAGCTGATGAAAGCAGGAGTTCATGGGTAGACTGTGAAACTGTACACAGATTTCATATCTGTGGTTTTGTATGTTTTTTCAGCAGATTTTTGAAGGAGTCTTTCTGAGTTCCTCCAAATGTTAAGAAACCTTCTGTTAACGTATAATGCCATGGAAGTGAATTAGGAAGGTCTTGGGCTAATTGAGTTTAAATATGGAATCTTCCAGTGACCTGACATCACCGGTCCTAGGTCCCTAGAACCTAAAGGGGTGGTTAGAGATCCCATTCTGTAGACACACCAAATGTCTCTTCTTCCCCTGAGCTTTGACTAAAATTTACTTGCTGGACAACTTGGCTATCTTTGGGCCAGAATCGTGATAGAGTTTTTGGTAAATGAGACCCAAGCTATTTGTTTGGGAACCAGATGACCCTTGCAGGTTCTGTACGTGAAGGAGCTTAGATTGTTATATGGGAAATATATTAATTGTGTCTGCCTCTCTGACTGGAAATTTTTGTTTGTTTAGATTGAATATATGTATAATATGAACCTTTTGAAGGGAAACTTCTTTTTAAAAT